CCCCCCCCCCCCCCCCACCTTTTTGTATTGTGCCTGTCAACACTGCTATCGACTGCTGTATTTGCGGATCTCTCGTAAAATGTGGTCGATTGATCGATGTGGTTGGTGGTGGCACAACAAAGCATGACTCAGAAGATACCTTTTCCTGAACTTTTTAGCACCGTCATCCCCCGATAGGTAAACGTATGTACCGAACAGCTCGGAATACCAGAGGGGTCGAAACCGGGGGCACTGGGCAAGGAGGCGTAATCCTTCGCTCAAGTATCAATTGTTAACCCTCGATTGGCGAGACGAGGTCTCCCGAACGGAAGATATTTGTTCGGTATGTTCGTTGCAACCAAAGATCAAGAACGTTGCCCGTATTAGACGCCCAACAGTAACCCAGCATAACAGGGATTGTAACAGTAATCGCAATAGATTTCGGTTCTTTATAATTGTTTGCAACCCATGAAATGGAACTTTGTAACTCATGCTAAAAGCGACTTTTGATTACAGGACTGCTTATTTATAAATATGCCTTGGTGCCAATCAGTTGAATTTATCTACGAATCTATTTTAAATAATACTAATAATATATAATATAATAATACTAATACTATATAGTATATAATATAATTTATATTATTATTATAATATATATAATATAATAATACTATATAATACTATATAATAATACTAATAATTATGCAGAGTATGATTATTTGTTAAATGATCAACGAACGCGCTTAAATAGTGACGTTATAAATGATGTGATGAATACTATGGACGAACGACTCTGACCTTTAATTTTGAAAAATATTGTTATTACTGATACTATTACTGTAATATGTATTTAATAATTTTACTTAAAAAGCTCGTTTGAACGTGTTTGTTACCTGTTTATTTATGTTAGCTATAATCAGGGTCTGAATAGATTCTGAGAACAACTGTTTCAAACTTTTATACAATCCATCTGGATTGAGACAATTATGAAAACTCGAGGTTATGATTGTTATGCGGATTTTTATGCAAAATAACAATTGCCTGCGTCAGTTACAAAGAATAGAAACCAAGTAGCAAGTTCATTTTTCCTTTAACAATCTTAATAGATTAAAAATAATACATTGACGTTTTAAAATGCTTTTAATTATTGCATTGTCTTAAATTGAAGCTACTCAATTTTGCTATAAATGTATAAAATCCGCAGTCTAGTTATAATGATTTCGGTTTCAGTTCTTGAGCTTGAGAACCGAAATTGATTTCAGCCAGAATCGAAATCACCACAACAGCTGTAACATTATTTGGGTTTCTGTAACTCCTTTGAGAACCAAAATCAATATTACGAGTATTTTGTGTCCCTATTTAATTAATAAATATTTAAGAACCGTTCCCTCGTGGGTAGCACGGTTTACAGAAACCTTCCTTGGTCAACCGGATTTGGATTAGGATTAGGCGACCCGTGGAATCTCTGGTTGCAAGTCAAATCTGTGAGTTACGATGCATGTTACATAGATCCAGCTCGCTAATTAAGGGTTAACAATGTCTAGATGTCGTGCAGAGAACAACATTCCTCAGACCAGTAAATTAGAGGCAAATCAGGAGATAGAGATATACAGAGATAGACAGATATATATATATATATAGAGAGAGAGAGACAGAGAGGGAGAGAGAAAGAGAACTGGGTAGAGTATAAAGTGAAAAGGTTCTCTTGTCACTCCGCAAGATTAAGAACGTAGATCCGGTGCGAGACGTCGACCACGATCCTCGACAATGATCGTTCTCTCACCGGTTATCGAGTTCAAGGTCGAGCTTCGCTGCTTTGGTTCGTCGAACTCCAGGTTCAACGGCGTCATTTCCTGGCCGGCCTTCTCCGTGCTGAACTCTAGAATCCCGTGGCCACTCGCTTTGTCGCTGCAATATAAAAATATTTTTTTAAGGGAAACCGTCGATTAATTATGCGTTGTGAAAGCTTTGCTGTAAATAGGAAGGTATTTATCGAGACAAAATCAGGGACTCTTGCAAATACGTTAGTTCGTCCCCATTTCTGGTCTTTCGGTTTTCAGTTGATTACGAACAAATTGATTTGTGCAATTTTCTAACCCAAACTTGACAAAAGGCCTAACCTTTTTCAACAAATATTCGGTTGGCAACTAAGTAATTGCCGATTTCAGTTATAGATGTCTCTCACTCCCATTTTTATGATATCCGTAAATGTTATATTATAAAATTATTATTATTATTATTATTATGTTATATTTTATTATCCGTGAATGTTAGCAACTGGACAAATTGAATGCAGCGGTCAAGGAAAAGCGACCAGAATTGGTCAATCGTAAAGGTGTCATTTTCCAGCAGGACAATGCTAGGCTGCACACGTCTTTGCCCACTCGGCAAAAATTCATGGATATTGGTTGGGAATTGATGTTACACCCACCATATAGCCCTGATCTCGCGCCATCGGATTACCACTTATTTCGATCCCTGGACAACTCCCTTCGTGGTGAAACTTTTAATGATGATGACGATATAAAATCTCACTTAACTCAGTTTTTGGCCGAAAAGGATCAGACTTTCTACGAGCGTGGAATTTTCAAGTTGTC